GAGGACTGAGACTTCTGAACTGAGAGCCAACATAAACCTCTTTCGCTCAGCCGTGGGTGTCGAGTACTGTGTCCCAGCAACAGGGCAGGCCACTAAGTCACCTCCACGGGGAAAGCCGGGCGCAGTGTCTGGCAGAGCAAGTGCTGCATGATTTTGTTTTTAATGAATGACGAAAGCAAAGCACAGACCGGTTAGAGAGGTGGCGCGCGCCTACACACCGACACTGCCAGAAATAAGGCAAGAAAGCGGGGAGGCTGAGACCGGGCCCCGGGCCTGGGCAGCAGGGATGGGTGTCGGTCCCTAGGCAGTGCCCGATTGACCTGCGCTGGCTTCTGGGGCGGATGGGTGAGGACAGGGCTGGGCCGGAAGTGAACACAGGAAAATCCTCGCATAGAGGCTTTCTCCCAAAGGGCACCCTGTGCACGGGGAGAAACAGCCTCACCTTGGAGGACACCAGCAAGCCCTCCCTCGCCCGCTGATCAGCTGAGGGTCGGCAGTGGTCAATCGCGGGGACAGCGAGTGCCCTGGAGAGGAGGCAGCACGGGCACACGTGCTCCCGAGGCAGGAGGAGGCAAAATCCCTCACACCAGGGAAGGACGTTCCCCAGAGCGCCTCCCCACGTCTCGAGGAGAGTCCGAGGCGCTACCCATCCAGGGCCGCCTGCAGAGACAGGGCGGCCAGCCGTGACGTGGGGGCCTACATAGAATACTGGAGCAACCTTTTTTTTTTTTTGGTACCCGGGATCGAACTCGGGACCTTGCCCTTGCGAGTCAGGTGGGGGAACCACTGAAGTAAATCCCTGGCCCTGGAGCAACCTTTTGTAAAAAAGGACATTTGGGCCAGGGATTTAGCTCAGTGGTTCCGCTGCCTGCCTCGCAAATGCAAGGACCCGAGTTTGATCCCTGTTACCAAAAAATAAAATAAAATAAATAAAAATAAAAAAGCACATTAGTGGCTGGGTAGCACAGCAGTTGTCTAGCATGTGTGAGATCCTGGGTTCCATCCCCAGCACCTCCACCAAATAAGAAATAGCCAGTTGCAGTGGTGAAAGCCTGGGATCCCAGCCCCCAGGAGGCTGAGGCAGGAGAATCGCTGTGAGTTTGAGGCCAGCCTGGGTTACACAGTGAGTTCAAGACCAGCCTGAACTACATATCGAGACCCTGTCTCAAAAACCAAAAGAAAAAAAAATAGACAATTTTCATTCATTGTGACAAATGTATACATCAAAAAATTAGACAATTTTCATTCGTTGTGACATGTATACATCAATGTTAAGATATTAATGCTGGGGGATTAGAGTGAAGAGGGGACGCTGGGCTACCATTTCAGCTTCCCTGCAAATCTAAACCTACTCTAAAGCAGTCTCCTCAAATAAAACAGTAGCGATGGATCTGGAGTGAGGCTCCAGGCAATTTCTCTCCTTAGCTGTTCTTCCCTGACTTTCTAAGTGCTCCACAATAAATATACTTTGCTTTTGTCACCAGAAAAATATTCAATAAATGCTGCTTTTAAAAAAATGAATGAATGGCGGGTTGCCGGGCCCTTTGGAGGCAAAGTGCTATATAAATAAAAGTATAATGAGAGTCGCTCCTCCGACATCAATTAAAACCCACTTTATCGCTCCGCTCCCTGGCAGCCCTGGCGCTGTCCCCAGGGAGGCCGGTTTCCCGGCCCTGCTGTGAGGGGCACTTGGTGGCAGGGGGAAGGGCCAAAGGGTGCCCGAGACAAGCTGGGAGCACAGGGAAACCACGGCCACCTTGTCCTCAGTCCCCATCGGAATAGAAGGTCAGACAGGGCAGCCCGGCAGGTCCCAGCCCCTGAAGCACAGTGTATTTTCTACCCTCCATTTCCGGCCCTCCCAGAGGCCACTAGGAGAGGCTCGGTTAATCCCTGGGCTGCCCAAGCCTCCGAAGCTGTCCCTGACCCTCCCGGGCACCGGGGCAGCAGCCTTCCGAAGCCTCCCAGCACACCCTGCCGCCACCTGTTCACCAAGGGTCCCGCAGCCAAGCGCTGGCTGTCCTTGGGCCCCGAGCTCCGACTCGCAGGATGGCAGGGTTCCCCTTTGCTCAGCACAAGGCGCCTTCTGTCGCCCTGGCATCCAGGCCACACATACGGGGGCCTCCCTCAGGAGGAATCTCAGCTCGCTATCTGAAGATTGAAGCAGGAGGCTCACAAGTTCGAGCCCAGCCTGGGAAATTTAGCAATATTGTCTTAAAAGAAAGAATTTTAAAAGGGCTGGTGATGTGGGTCAGCGCAAAGGCCCTGGGTTCAGTCCCCAGTTCTGAAAAGAAAGGAGAGGCCATGGGAAAAGGCCCCGGAGACTTGGCCGAGGTCGGGCAGGACTGGCTCTGTCAGAGCTGCCCACAAGGACCCCAGGAGGACTGACTCTGCCGCCTAACAGCAGGCAGGGCGGAGGGCAGTTTCAGGAATGTGGTGAGCTCTCGCCTCACGGGGCCCTGCACGCCACCCCTTCTCTAGTGGTTCTCGGGCTCAGCCCTGCCAGGGCCACCTCTGATGGGAACTGACCAGCCTGCTAGGAGGTCCAGGGTTTCCCCAACACAGGTGTCCAGCGACTTCCCAGACTGAGGCCACTCTGGAGAATCCCAGGCCCCTCCCAAGCAAGGGCTGCCTGACAAGAGTGGCATCTCTCAGCAAGGGAGCATACACCTGTAATCCCAGCACTCAGGAGGCTGAGGCAGGAGGATTCAAGTTTAGGCGAGTTGAGGCAACCCTAAACTACACACCAAGACCCTGTCCCCCAAAGCAAAAAAGGAGTAGCATCTCCTCCCAGTTGTATTATTTGTCAGACACACCTGCTCGATGGGCAGTAATTGTGTGTGTGTGTGTGTGTGTGTGTGTGTGTGTGTGTGTGTGTGTGTATTGGTTACTCCCTCTGCCTCAAACCCCAAACAAAGGCCCTAAATCATTATGGCCTGGCGGAGTGGGAAACCCCACCCATGCTGCAGAGCCAGCCCTGCCTGCCTTCCCTGCTGGCTCCATTTGTCAGCTCCATTTGTTGCACTAATGAGCCCTAGGTGTTTGCCTTGGGCCCGGGCCAGTCAGTCCCACTCCTGGGGAGGAGGGGCGGGCACAGCACTCTCTGCAGCCGAGACTGCAGGGCCGGGGCGGCCTGGCTCAGCCCCTGGCACCCACGAAGCCCACACCTTCCTACTCCACTTCAGGGACTCCCGGACTCGGGTTCCCGACTCGTCTCCTGGGCCGGGGCTGGCGGGAGTACTGTGCCCCGTGAATATGCACCCAGGAGGCTGATGACCAGGTTCTGGGTGAGCTTGTGAAACTGCGTACGTGCACTTTTCTAGGGTCCATGGCCTTGGTGAAATTCTCAAACTAGGTAGAAAGCCTCCAAACTCCTTAAAAAGCAAAAGGCAGACCGGGCCTGGAGGTGCACACCTATTATCCCAGCGCGCCGAACACTGAGGCAGGAGGATCACAAGTCCAAGGCCAGCATGAGCTACACTTGAGTTCAAGACCAACCTGAACTTGTGGCAAGACCCTGTCTCAAAACAAACAAACCACAAAGGCTTAGGAGCACTGGCAAATGGGTGGCTCCTGAGGTCGGCGGAGTCCAACTGCTCAGGCCCAGAGATGGGTGGTACCGGTCCTTTCAGGCTGGAGGGGCGACCACACAGCAGACCACTAGGCTGGTCACGGCAGGTGCCACCTGCCCTGGGCTTGGTGGGACAGTCAGAACCCGGCGCTGCTGCAGACGCCTGGCGGAAGGGCCCTTCGAGGCTCTCCCTCTGGCCCGCAGGAACTAGCATCCTGGACCGAGGCCACACTGCTCCGGGGCGGCCCCCAAGGTGGTGTTTGGTTGGGAGCTGGGTCCTCGGGAGGGGAGCAGGCCCGGGGCGGAGCCCTTTCTCAAACAAAACCGGGCGGGAACCTCAGCACCTGCTTCAGGCTCCAGCCTCCTGCTCGAGAGTGCACGAGAGGTGGGCCCTGGGCAGTGCCGGGTAACAGACCCGCACTGGGTTTCCTCGCCCGCACCCTGGCTGTCACCCGCTCCCCAAGGCCAGCCATGGATGCTCGGTCCCCTCCTTTGGCCCCATCCCAATGCCACGAGCCTGTGTGCCCATCCCAGGTCCCTACCGCTCTATTCCACAGACCCTGGAGGGCGTGGGCAGTGAGGCCCTGCTCTGCCTCCTCAGCTCCGCCCCGTGAGCCAGGTAAGGCCTTGGTGATACCCGGGAAACCTCACCGGGGCTGGCCAGTGAGAGGGCAGGAGCCACCGGGCGGGGCAGCCTCCACCTGGCCCCCGGGCTCTCCCCGGGCCAGCGTCTCCCCCACTGGGCAGGGCCCGAAGGACCCAAACACAGAGCCTCCCGGAAGCGAAAGCAGGGCCACCGCTCCACTTCCGCCCGGGACAGCGAGGCCCGCCCACGCAGGGTCAGAGCCAGGAGCGCGGCTCAGCGCCTCACCCACAGACTCGAGTCTTCATGGGCACCTGGCGGCGGGGGAGGCCGTGGCCTGTGCTCTGTGTCCCACACAGCCAAGACTCCCCGGCCGCCTTCCCACCCGCGGGTGAGAGCAGCGCCCCAGACGAGGCCCCAGAGCTGCCCAGCCCTCCGGAGAATGTGGTGACCATGACCACCCAGGAGCCTGGGGACAGCCCTGCCCATGGGAACCTGCCCTTGCCCGCTCGGGTCCCGGCTTCTGGGCTTCCGCCGGCAGCGGCAGGGAGCGCACTTCCCGGGGAGGCCCCGGGGCGGGGAGTCAGCAGGGAGCCTCCCAGAACTAGCGTCCCAGGCTCCTCTCTGCCGCCGCCGCGTCTCCACTGCGCTGCGCGCGGGAGGACCCCGAGGCCCAGAGGATGTGGGAGCCCCACCGGAGAGGAGCCGGGCCTGTGGCTGACCCACCCGCGCTGGCCTTGGAGACAGCCTTTCGGGTCCGGGGCGCACTTGGCGTGTGACCACACGGGAGGGGACACGTCCCACATCCCAAGGGACCAGGGCTCCAACAGAGCGCGGACAGGGACAACGCTGGTTCCCAAAACATTTTATTGAATGTTCCAAGTGGCAAAATGTCATTGGTCTGACAGGGCGCCTCCTGGGGCGGGGAGGGTCCACCCGTTACAAAAATCGAAGGCCTTTATAAAAATGCTAGAAATTGGTATCAAAAGAAAACCCACGGGAGGCTGAGGCAGCGCAGAGAGAGGAGGAAAGAGCTGCAGGGCAGACGGAGGGCGGGAACCTTTGCCCAGCCGGGAGGCAGGGGCAGGCGGGGGGACACGGGGTCAGAGCCGACACAAAGTGCATGAATGTGTCCCCGCCAGGGACCCACAGAAACGGGCACTCCCCGAGGCTGCAGAGGGACCTGCGGGCAGAGATGGGAGTGAGGGGCGGCCCGGCCTCGCCTCCCCGCCCCGCGCCCACCCAGCGGTCCTCACAGGCCAGGGCGGGCCCTCACCTCGGGGCCCCTCAGACCTTCTTCTTCTTCAGCTTCAGGGCTTGCAGCCAGTGGGGTGACGACCCTTCAGACCTAGAAGCAGAGGCACAGGTCCAGGAGGTGAACTTCCAGGAGACAAGGGAGGCGGGCTGAGTGGCAGGGGAGGACGGCGCCCCCTCCGGCCGGAAGAGGGAGCCAAGCCTGGCTCCATCGCACGCAGCGGGTTAAGCCCCAGTTTCCCTGTCCAGGCTAACACCAGGCCAGCAGGGAAGCCCAGGGCCCCGGCGCCTACCCTGAAGACTTCTCCGGCTTCGGGGGTAGGGCAAGGGGCTTCCCCAGCCCGGGGACCTTGCAGGACTTGGAGCGCTGGACCACAGCCTCCTTCTGGCCAGCCTTGCCCTCTGCTGGCTCCGCCTCCTCCGCCGAGCGGTTTCGGGAGCGCAGCTTGGCCTGGGGAGGAGTCCAGGCAGAGACGATGAGCCGGATGGGCGAGGGGCGGCAGCGCCAGGCCTCTCGGGACAGCGCAGGCCCGGCCCTGCTCCGGACAAGGCCACCAAGCTCAGCTCGGTCTCGGGCTGGACGCCGGCCCTGGCCCCAGCAGGCCCAGGCCAAAGCTGTCCCTGCCCAGGGACCCCCGGGGCCCCGTGGCTCTGGGGCAGGAACTCCACGCCCACCACTCTGCCCTGGGCCAGCAGGACGCCCGGGCTTCAGGCCCTCTGAGGACGGCGGCTGACGGGAGCAGTGGGCAGCAGTCAGGCCGGACCGGGGCCGGAGCGGCGCTCGCTACCTTCAGGGCCGATGGGCTCAGGCCGGGAAACAGGTTGACTTTCAGCCCCTTGGTGCCCAAGGACATCCGGGTCCGGCGGCTCTGCGGCTCCTCTGCCACCTCCTCGTCCGAAGACGGCACCCGGGACGCCCGCGGCTCTGAGAGGCAGGACGGGGTCAGGCAGGGGCCCAGGCAACCTCCCCACAAGACGCGCGGCAGCCACACCGCAAAGCGAGCATACCCGTGGAGTCCCGGAAAAGGCGCGCGTCCGAGTCGGAGGCTTCCGCCAGGCCCAGGGTCCCCCCGGGCCGGATGGCCGGGGCCCGGTGCCCTCGCTTGCGGCCCAGGTGGGCCCGGCTGCGATACACGGCGCTGTCGAGGACCTCGGTGTCCTGGCGGGCACAGTGACACCACCGTGAGGCGCCCGCCTGCCGCGCCGCCCGCTCCCCGGGCCCCACACTGACCTCGATGAAGGAGAAGTCCTGGCTGGGGCCGCGGGCGGGAGGCCCCGGGGGTGGCCGCCGAGGGGCCAGGGTCGGGTCCTGCTCCCTGCACCCAGGCCCCTCGAGGCCCCAGGTGCCGTCCACCTCCTCCCCACAGCTGGCTCCGCCGTCGGGCTGGGGCCGCCGGGCAGGCAGGGGGTCCCCACCGCGCTCCTCAGGCTCCTCCGGGTGGCTGCCTGCCGAGGCTCCTTCCTGCTCCAACAGGATGCTGAGCCCCGAGGCCAGGGACTCGCTGGCAGCCTCCGCCTTGCCACTGCTGGTCAGCAGCGTCCCCTCTGGCAGGCCTTGGGTGCCAGGGGGCGGGGTGCAGGCTGGACGCTGGCCGGGGCTGTGAGAGACAGAGCAGAGCCATCATCCGCGAGGCCTGTCCCCACCGTCCGGCATCCTCCCTCCCTTGTGCCTGGGCCAGGGCGGTCTCAGCTGGGTCTCAGATTTTTGGAGACGAGTGGGTGCACATGGAGTCATCGTGAGTCCAGACCGCACAATAAGAAATCTGCCCCGGTGCGCACCGCAGGAGGGGACTCTGACACCTCCGTGCATCGGTGCCCAGAGGGCCCCACTCGAGCCCAGCACGAGGGCCGCTCCGCCTGCACCCCAGGCCCCTCAGGGTCTCGAAGGGTTGCGGGTGAGGCTGTGAGCCATCGGGCACCGGGCAGCTTCTCTGAAGCCAGCCCCCTCCACGGCCCTGCTCCCGGCACCTGCTGGTGTGGCAGTCCCAGGGAGGAGCCAGGCCGCGGCCCTCCGCCTGGCCCACTTGTATCACTTCCGGGCCCAGCTCCAACGCCCGACCTTTCTTTTCTTTTCTTTTTTTTTGACTTTTGAGACAGGGTTTCACCACGCAGTTCAGGCTGGCCTTGAACTTGTGATGATCCTCTGCCTCAGCTCCCAAGTGCTGGGCAACACCACAGCTTTCTCCCCCGGCCTCTCAGGACTGCAGCGCAGCCGGGGAGCGGGGCTGGAACACACCGGCATCCTGCTGCACGCCGGTCCAGGCCTGGGAGCTTCCCCTCTTCCTGAGCCTGCGGGGACGCCCCAGGCCGCCTCCTCCCCTCCTGGACAGCACAGTGGCCACTCTGCGGCCAGGTACCTGGGCGTCCCCAGTACGCAGGCCTCGCTCCCCACGCACTGATCTGTCAGCTGCAACACAATGTACGCTCGCCAGCCCCTGGCCCTCCCACAGCACGAGCTGCC